TCGTGTATCACGTGACCTACCGAATGTCGACTAACTAGAAGAAGGAGAAGAAGAAGATAAGCAGAGAAGGAGAGGGAGGAGGACGACCTTCTTTTTTTTTTTTTTTTTCACCTGTCGTGTCTCACTTACCGAATGTTGACGAACGAGAAGATGAAGAAGAAGAAGAAGGAGAAGAAGAAGAAGAAGAAGAAGAAGAAGAAGAAGAAGAAGAAGAAGAAGAAGAAGAAGAAGAAGAGGAGGAGGAGAAAGAAAACGAGTGGGGGAGAAGGGAAGACGACGAAGAAGAAGAAAGTTTGAGGAAGATGAAAATATGAGGGGGACGAGGGGAAGACGAAGAAGACGAGAGGAGGAGGAGAGAGGAAGAAGAAGAAGAAGAAGAAGAAGAAGAAGTTTGTCGTGGCCTTCGTCGTTACCTGCAACAGTTACCCTAGCAGCAGGGCCTTCGTCTGCCTGTCCAACACAACCCTAAACGATAACAACAGGAAGAAGAAGAAGAAGAAGAAGAAGAAGAAGAAGAAGAAGAAGAAGAACGGCGCCTTCGTCGTCAGGGCCTTTGTCGTAGCAGCAGCAGCAGGACAGTCGGGGCCTTCGTCGTAGCAGCTGCAGCAGGACTCTCGATGGCGATGGCGATGGGCGACGGGCGATGGGCGACGGGCGATGGGCGACGGGCGACGGCGCAGGAGCAACTCCGATCGTGCTGGGGGGCGAGTGGCAGACCACCCCAGCCGATCCCAGGTTTGAACGAGGGGAAGTTTAGCACCTAGATCCACCGGCTCTGTGGCTGTCGATCATGGTGGATCGACGGCCACAGAGCCGTCACAAATTTTCAAAAATCCTGCAGGCCTACCAGGCCCGACGGGACGGTTTTTCAGGCCGGTCGGACCCGGTAGGCCTGCGGGAGGCCAACAGCAGCGAAAAGGGGGTCCGAGACCCCCAGACAGGTGAGTGCGCTGGGGGGGCCCGGCCCCCAACCGGGTGCCCTGCCCAGCCAGGCCGCCCGGGACCTCCCCCGGGCCCCCGCCAGTCAGCCGGGCGGCCCGGATCCCCACCCAGCTTTTTTTTTCTGATTCTCTTTTGCTTCTGATCCTCTTTTTTCTGACTTCCTCCCAATGTCTACTTGTTAGATTAGGAATTGCAATTCCCTATGGTTGTTTGCTAGCATTTGGTCTTTCTCTGATTTTTCGCTCACATGAACTGTCACAGGGGAGTGGCTCCACCTCATGAAGTAGGTTGGTGACCTTGCTCTCCCCTGAATCTGGAACCTGTACCATTGTATCTTTGGCCTTGGGCACTGGGCCCTAATAAAAAGACAAAAAAAAAAAAAAAAAAAAAAAAAAAATCTTAAAAAAGTTAAAAAAGCCGTGAGTTCCTAGGCTACCAGAGTGGCCCAGGGTCACTTGCCCGGCCAGGCCAAAAAAAAAAAAAAAGAAAAAAAAAAGTAAAATAGTAAAATACTTTTTAATTTTATTTGTTATTCTAAATTTGGTGAAAATTTTCAATGTGACCCTGAGGCAAAAGTTGCTCAGTTCATTTTTCTGCATAACATAGTTTTTTTTTTCGGATTTTTTTTTTTTTTTTTTTCCTGGGACCTTCCCTGTTCCTTGCACGGGCTGGCCACCTGGGACCCGGGCGGCCCCGCTGGTAGCCTAGGTAAGTTCCCAATTTTAAGAGAATTCGCGCAAAAATAACAGACTCTGGTTCAGTCCTCCAAGGCCCGTTACAGCAAAAAGATAAGTCCAATAATACCACCTACAGGCAAATAACGTCATACATTTTCGTGAATTTCTGCTATCTTTATATTTAGCATCATAACCACAAATAAAAATAG